CAGATCCTGGACAAGCCCCCAATTTTATCATACCATGGTTTATGGGCTATGATAAAAATAACAAAACTAGCTTTAAAAATGGAGGAGAAAAAGGGGTGGCCACATAGAATCCAGAAATAATATTTATGAGAAGGTCCACTTCCATTTGTTCCGAATAAGGTACTAAAAATATAAATAATCCTAATTTTGGATGAAATATAAAAATGCTGGATAAATTTTACCTGGCAAGCCATCCTATATATTAGAATATAGAGTTTGGCCACGGTCCATTGATGGCTCTAACTTGTGGGGTGGGAGCTACAGTTTTCTTTCAAACTGTCTCTGCATTCTACTGGATAGCAAACACCATGGCATACTAACCATTACATATGTCAGTCAGTGAAGCAGTCCACCATACTTTGTCAAAGAAGATGCAAAAACATCTCTTTTCTAAATAGAAATAAGTACCTCTTTCTTATCTTAAATCAAATAAAAGCCCAAGTCCAAAGATGATACCAAAGCCGTTAAAAACGAGCCGTCCCCATCTTTGTATCAGTAACATCCCACCCACCAACAGAGTGCTGTGATTGGCCCAACAAAACAACAGAGCCCTATGATTGCACTGCTACAGAGCCGTGGCAATCTTGGTTTCGCTCAGTCACAGTAACATCCCGCCCACCGGCCTGATAGAATGCTGAACTTGGTCAACCAAACCAATAGTGTGCAGTGATCGAACCGCTACGGATGTCAATCAACAGGGCATTCTGTCATTACATCATGGAATACTATATAATACATAAAAAAAACTTAAAAAAATACATTAATACAATACAATAATAATTTTTTTAATAAATGCCCTGTGATTGGCCAGCCACAATACTGGCCAAAGCTGCAAGGTTCCAACGGAGCTTTGCTACACCATCAATTTTTTTAGGCAAATGACGGTCTAGATTCTAGAGAGACAAATTATGAGATGCATATGCATATTTTTTGGTGTGTGTGTGTGTGTTTGTGTGTGTGTAGAATTTAGGATTATCTATATGTAATAAATAACTATTTTCTGGAAACCACTGATATGTAAATGTATCTCAGCATAAACAGGTACACAGTATCTTCATGTGTGCACAAACTATGATTGTTGAAAACTAAAATACTTGTAAGAACATTTTTGTCATGTACAGCCAACTAAAGCTTTACTTACTCTACAGTTCCAAATAGTATTACACTCATGTAATTGAACTCACTGGCATTGTTCCCTTAAGACTGTTTTGTGCCATTTAATGTGTGAAGATGGGAGAGAATAAAACGCTTTAACGTTGGCATTCAGGGAAAATAAAAGGTTAAGCTGAACATCAGAGCATTGGGTTAAGTTATTAAGTGCAGCACAGAGAGATGTATTGGACATGTCCAAGCATTCATCAAGCTTCAGCCAGTTCTCTCTCAGCCCCCATCTAGTCACCTCACTACATCAATATTCTAGTATGCAGAGTCCCACTCTACTCCATTCTATCATATCCAGTGGCAAATGCACATTTCTATGTGTGTGTGTGATGGTGCATGTGATGGCAATGGCCTCTCTGGTGAAATAGGGCTCTCCGGGGACTTGTGCCTCAACTGCAGAGCCTTTCTGGGCCCCCATTACTTTTGACAGATAGAGATCACTGAACTGCTGAACAAACACCCCATTCAGTAATTTCCCTACATTACAGTAATGGAAAGAGAAAAATGTATCAATAAAGCCAAACGAAGTGCTTCAGCTGAGACTTCTTTCTTTCTTTTACTCTCTCTCTCACAGTAATCTTTGAAAGGTATACATAATTGATGAGTTCCTGAGTGACTTTTTAAATGAGAAAAAATTACTAAGTGTAAATAAAAAAAATAGGACATTATGTCCAAAATTAGGACATAGATGAATTAAAAACATGCAAACAAAGCCCAAAATACTGCTCAAAGTTTCAATAAAATTAAACATGCACAGACTGAATTTAAATCACCTTTTCAGTCCTCAATAATTGCTGAATTTCTGTCCTGAAACACTGATAAAAATCACAGATGCACAGTAAATTACTGCTTCCTTTTTCTGCCATAACACTATTTTAAATACAGGAGTGGGTGTTAGAGTCTAATTCATCACAGGACACAGCAGTCAAGACAACGGAGCGTCTCCAAACTTTTACAGAGTTGCTCAAGCATCAAATGCATGACTTTTAGCTGCTGTTGCTTGTTTAATCAGCCATGCTTCATGGAACCAACACCTTTTATTAATCACAAGATAACGTTTCAAAATGCCCTTGCTTCTCTGTCATCTGCGCAGCACTGGAGCTGTCAGCCTAAAACATCCGGTGCTAATTCACAGCATATCTGTGCAGAACTGAAGCTCATTCTAAATATTTGTGATAAAATCTTTGTCGAATCAAGAAGTCTGTTTAGATCTTCCCAAATCATGGACCCAATGAAGTACATTCAAACAAGATGACTCCCAACATTTTCCTTTTTAATATATATTTTTTTGAAAATGCACAAATGCAGACCGTTTGGGCTCATTTGTCCAGCTCTATGACGGCCTGCAGTGAGTCAAAACTAAACTCAAACTGATGAAAGGTTTTCTGACAGTTTAACTTGCTTGCAATTTAACCTGCAATCATGTTTTTCTCCACTGAAATTGACACAAAACTGCTAAAGATGGCAGCTGTAGCCTACTTTAATTAGCTGAAATTATGTCTGAGAGACACTGGTGTGTAATGAGTTTTGGAATCGTGCCAACAGAAAGACAGTCCAGAATGAAATCCTTTATTTTCTCGCAGCTGTAACTTGAGCAATATCAGATGAACTTGACTGTTTACCAGTCACAGTTTGCTTTTATTATCTTTGCATGGCTGCATGTTTCCTGTTCATTTTTCTAATTATATTTTTCACTGCTGTGCACGTTTGCATCTTGTTTTTTTAAATCAGCAGTTGAAACAGGGAAATTAATTTTCATCCCCATTATAAAGAGTTTCGCTTTTCATTTTGTGGAAGATTATTGATTATCACAAGCATTGTTAAGGTAATGAAATGGTCCTACAGTCAATAGTTGCAGACTTGTATCAAAACGGTATCCTTGGATTCAACAACTAGCTGAAAGCTGATAGCCAAAACCTTTTCAATATAAACCTGCAATAGCAAATCTACAGAACAATCTAGCTTTTAAACACTAAAACCATGATGGAACACTCACCCCTCCCGTCAGCTATCATCCCTAAGCCACGTCCGCCAGAACCCACATTACCAGAGGAAACGAGAGAGTGCTAAACACCAGTCGCTATTTCTTACATCCCAACGTCTTTTGTTGTCTGTGACTCCAGATGGCGTTTTTCTTTTAGGGACTCTGGTAGTTTGTCCTAAAGTTGAAGTGGTAGCAGCTGGCTGTTTCTCCTCTGATATTATTGAGCCTTGAACCTCTCATACCAGTGTGTTCTGTAGCTAAAATACGAGAGTGCGTAATGAGTGGAAGACCCAGGTAAATGCGGATGTGCGGTGGATCAGTGAATGGTCCAATAGTTAGTTTCGGTCTGAGCCGTGTTATTGGCAGAGGTTTTTAGACAAATACGAGAGAACTATTTCATTTATCAATTTTGGGATTTTTTAAAAATCTCCACAAAATCTTTATAGCTGTACTATGTTAGAACGTTGTTAAGAGACATGGAAAACATGTTTTAAGCTAGCTTGTTTTGCAGATTTGCTATTGTAGCTTTAATTTCCCAAAATATTAAAGTGCATTCATGTGAGTCTTCAGGGGCTAGGTGAACAATTAAGTAACTACAAATGGATACTATTTCAAAGCTTCATCTTAAAAGCAATACAAAAAAGTGTGAGCCAAAAATACAGAAGTTCTTCTAAGCCTCCATCCAACCACCAACACTCACTTGATCAGGTGAGATGGAGAGAAGAGGAAGGAGAAGGGTGTTTCAAGTCATGACCGGCCAGCTTCTCACTGCTAACCTCTGGGGAAAAAACTCCAGACAGTGAAAAAAGAGCCATGCTGCAGTATATCTACACTTCTCCATTTCCTCTCACTCAAGCATTCAGCTCTCGAAGGAGCTGGGGAATCAATACTGGCATCGGTGGGGGCAGAGAGGCTTTCCTGCCTGCCTGCTCTGCTCCAGAACAACCAGTCTGCACCTCAGGTTTATTCATTTATTTCAGTTTTACCATTTTAAATGTCCCTCTCTGACTAGGAGCAGAATGCTCAAGTGTTAGGATATCACTCCTATACCAGCCGACGTGCAAGCTCAGTGTAAATAAATATCAGACGAAAGGAGGCAAATATCAGGTTATGTGTTAGCACCTAGCATATGAGTACACCCACTCTCTTCTCCAGTGACTCAAAAGTATTTTTTGGTTATTGCTCTGTTAGATACCAACAAAAACATTTCCTGGCGACTGGTCTGTTTATTTCTCTCTCAGGTAAGCTGACCTAACCTCAGGGCGTTGACAGCAGACTTGATTTTCACCATTGATCAAACCCACATGTTGTAGACGTTTTCCCTCAGAGAGGACATTCAAGAAAGCACAGGGACACTGGTGGTTAATTTAATTTAGGAGCAGAGATCCTTAGGTTGGAGTGAAACACTCCATTATCAAAACAGGAGAGGTGGCACGAGTAAGGATGGTTCTGTGGAGAGGCTTGTGTGGCCGGCCAAGAGATGAAATCAGGGACAGGCGATAAGATGGTGAGAGGGGCTCGAGCCCCTATTAAAGTCCCTCAGGGGACAGGCAGCTGTGGCAGGGTGCAGTAAAAATAGCTATGGGCATGATTTCACCCTTGGGACATGGAGGAAAAGAGAAGAGGGTGATCTGATCAACATTTCACAGCGAGGCAGCCAGATCCATTCCTGACTGTCTCCAGGGTGTCAACCACCATGCCAAGTGACTTAAACAACACCCAACATGCACCCTCACTAGTGCTACACACAAAAGAGAACAGTACAACACATGTTCAATAGGAAAAGATGTGAAAACAACAAAAAATTAAAGGATATAGACATCTTTTCCACAAACTTATCTTGTGGGTCATCTGTTTTGGGGAAGTTTCCTATATCATTCTCGAGCCTCTGGATGTGACGCTCCATGGTGCTCAGACTACTCTTCAAGATTTCAGCAGCCACTGGAAAATCATGCACAAAAACAGAAACACAATAGATTAGTATAAACATTTGGATTCTAATCTAAATAACGTAAATCTCAGAAAACTTTACATTTATATACAAATCAGCCGTGACTGAGTTACACTGTATGTTGTGACATACTGACTTTCACAAACTCCATTTGTGTGTGGCCTAGAAAGCAAGCGTGTGTGTGTGAGTACAGTATGTGTGCTGTGGCTCATTAATCAGTCTGTAATCACTGTTTGCAGAGTTGCTGAGGAATCCACAGTATTTAGATTAGTCCTTTCAAGTAGAAACTTCAAACAGCTAGCTGTGTCTAATGGGATCAGACGGGACAGGAACACGGATGCAGTAGCATGTTTATGTTGCAGTTAAGGGGTTAGTTTCATTGATGCGTACACACACACACACACACACACACACACACACACACACACACACACACACACACACACACAAAATTACTTTACGTCTTGCAGATTCACAAAAGCAGTGTTTCATAATAAAAAGTAGACTATAATAAAAGAAACTACTTTGGTTACAATAAAAGTTTTGGCAGAATAAAGCAACAAACATCTATCTTGATGTCATTAATATTTAATTGCAAAGCTTTTTAATTTTAGTACAACATTGCCTACATTAGGTATCAATTTATCATCCATTGCAACTGGTTTGGATGCAAAAAAAAAATACTTGCAGAAGCCTAACACACAATTTTGTTTATCCATACAGTTAAAAATTGCAAAATGCAATGCCTATGTGTGTTCAGTACGAAGAGAAACCAAAGTCTGGGCTGATGGTAAGCGAGGAAAAGCGTGGAACACCTTGACTCCAATCAAAATTCTGTCTAAAAGCTTGGTTAAAGGTCAGTATGTAGGTTTGTGTTTTTCTAGGGAACCACGAGTCGAGAGCTCCATTCATTGGAAACTCAATGGCTACACTTCAGAACAGGTAAACTCACAAGGTTATAGAAACTCGGAGATTATGACATGAGAGATTTCACAAGCACCTAAAAATTCCACCAAGTTTAGCCTTCAGTTTTTTTGTTGTTGTTTTGATGAAAGAAAAACAGACGAGGACACACGTGTATGGAGGCTTAAACCATTTTGAACATAATAAAAAAATAAAAATAAAATGAATGAAGATACATATGAATCCATGTGTTTTATTATTGTTTTATTTTCTATAAAGAAAGTAAGATTTCAACTAAGGAAGTTCTTTCTCAATAGGGCTGCACAATATATCGAAAAATTATCATCATCGCGATAACAGGACGTGCGATAGGCACATCGCAAAGCACGTCAAAAACGGCGATAAATGTTTGGTTGAAACATTTCCATCCGTGCCATACATCAATTTTTTGTAAACCAGCTCTGTTTTTTACATGGAAGTATTATTTGACCAATCAAATGTAGTCCCTCTGATATGCGGCCAATCAGATGGGTCCGTTCACGTAATATGCCCGCCCCCTACGTAGACCCTTATGGAAGAGCTGCCCCACGCTGCTCGGCTGTTTCCATCCGAAGGTTGAGATGTTTGCCAGCCTTACATAACCGCTCTTGTTTTCGGCACCACCACTTCCTCCGCGCGCCGACACCGGAGCGTCGGAGACTGTGCTGCCGAGCGGAGCTTCCCGGGCTGCGCGTACTTTGGGCCGCCGTGCCGCCGCCTGGTTCACCCGCTCCAGCACAGACTGTATCCCCAAAATTCCACTATCTCCGCTCCGCCCGCACTTTCCGCTGCCGCTCGCTTCCCTTGTTCGTCATGCTGGCTCAGATTAACGAACACACTTTGTGCTGAGGTTTCAGACTCCGGTTAGCTTCCAGCTAAAAGGCTACAGCACTCTCCTCCCAGTCCCACCCTGAGCTGCTAAAGAGGGCCTGGAAAAGTTCCAGCACACATCCAAGTGATTTTTCATTCATGAGCTTTTATAACCTTGTTAATCAGGATAGTTGATTTGCAGCATCACATAAACTGTCAGTCAGAAGCTCTGCTAGCCGGTTATCATAGAGGAGCTAGTTCAATTTGTTAGCTTGTTATCAGAATCATAGTTGCAGTTTCATCATCTGAGCTGCTTTTTAAGATCTAGGTAAACTTGTTCAATTTGGGGTTAAAAACAAACGTTTTCACATATTTTCCATGTAGTTTTTTTGCCAGTTCCTCTTCTGAAAGGTAGACAATTGTTTTTCTCTTTCCCTCAGAAAATCTTAATATTCTCCTAGTTTGGCCCAGCACAGATCACTTCCCAATTACAGCAACAGCCTTATATCATAACCACATACATGGAGAAAATGTTCAGTAGCAATGAGAGAATTTGCTGTTGCATTTAAGTGATGTTAACTATTATTTAACATTTAAACTTATTTTCAGATTTTTTTATTTATTCTAAAAACCCTGGTAAGGGATGTTTTTCTGTATTTGGAGCATCAGAAAAAGTTTTATGGTGGAGGTGATGTTTTAAATCACTGAGAAACTGCATGCATGCAGTTTGTTGTTTTGCTGCTACTACAGTAGCAGGTGGAGCTGCATATTTTTGCAATAAAAATGTTATGTTGTAATGGAATTCATGCATTAGTTTTTGTTTGCTTTGAACCCAGAGCAGATGTCACACGCCAGACGACATCAACACTGCATACTTTAGTATTTGTTCATTTATCACGAGTAATATCGATATCGCAATATTAAGCACTGTTACCGAATATCGCAGTTTTTCCTAATATCGTCCAGCCCTATTTCTCAAATATTCATTCTGACCATGGATCTTTCAGACTTTGCAATGCAGTTAAACTGCTTAAGTTATTTACCAGCTCTTCTAAATCTGAGACCATGGTCTTGATTCAGAAAAGGTAAGAATGCCTTCTCCAGGTAAGGGATGAGGTCCTGCCTCAAGTGGATGAGGTTAAGTACCTCTGGGTCTTGTTTACGAGAGAAGGAAAGATGGAGCACAAGATCAACATGTGGATTGGTGCTGTGTCTGCAGTGATGCAGGCATTGTACCGATCTGTCGTGATCTACATTCCTACCTTCACCTATGGTCATGAGCTTTAGGTCATGACTGAAAGAATGAGACTGCACATACAAGCAGTACAAATGAGTTTTCTCAGCAGGGTGTCTGGGCTCTCCTTTAGAGATAGGTAGAGTAGATAGAGTAGATGTAACTCAGTGAGATCCCCCTGAATCAGTCCATTGACCGAAACAGTTTGGATTAGGGATTCACTGGCAGTGCACGGGCCGGCGCATGTCACTCAAGAACTCCCCTCCGATTGTTGGGTCATATCAATGAAGAGCAAAAGAACATCCAGGAGGGGCTCAGAGTAGATTCACTGCTCCTCCACATCGAGCCAGATGAGGTGGCTTGGGCATCTGATTAGGGTGCCTCCCTGGTCAGGTTTTCCGGGCACACCCGACCAGGAGGAGTCCTAAAGAAAGACCAAAAAGACATGCTGGAGGGACTATGTCTCTCAGCAGGGAGCACCTTAGGATCCCCTAGAGGAGCTGGCCCAAGTCGCTAGGGAGAGGAAAGTCTGGGCCTCCCTGCTTAGGCTGCTGCCCCCACGACCCTACTCCAGAGAAGCGGACGATGATGGATGGAAGCTATTAACCACATTTGATTGACATTTGGATGTCTGTTTTTCAGTTGCTTATGCTTAATTGGCTATTGTGTATTCAGATAATTGACTTGTTCTCCTCTATTCCTTATTGTTATGACAACTAGCGAGAGATAATTTATTCAATTCAATTTTATCTCAATAAGGAACCAAAAGAATATTTTTCCATCTCAGTTAGACAATCCCTTTAATCATTAAATGTAATGAAAGGACTAAGAATATCAGCTCTGTTTTGGTATTACAGTATATAAAAGCCATGTCCAAATCCTGCTGGGAATGAAACTGTGCCTGATTGGCAAAAAAAAAAGTATGGATATTTTTCTATGGGATGCTGATTTTAGTTGAAAATTAATTAAAAACAACATAAATAATTGTATAAATGTTACAGGTTCATTCAGATGTGGAAAACATTCAATGAAAACTCTAAAAAGCTACTTAAACCAGCATTTTTTAAATTGTGGGCCAATCTATAAACCGTATGAAAATCATTTTAGCTAAAATTATTCAGAGCCACTGTAGAAGGCCAATGAGCCTGAGTTATGTTGTGGTGACTAGAAAGCAACTGTGAAACTTTGGCTGTTTGCTTGTTCAAGTTGAATTCAAATAGAACATATAGTATATGAAATAAAGAGTCTAAAATGATCCTGCAGACACTGATGCTTGGCGTATCCCTAAAACTATTTTGAAAAAGAGTGAAGGTATGTACCTGTTAAAGTGTTTGTGGTGGATCAGTTAGAGCTTTTGTAGTCCATTTGCCAAATATGACTTTTATTTTGCAGATCATTAAATGATGTCCTTCCAATTATGTCTGCATGCCAAAAAAGGTTTCTAAAATATATGTATTTAAGTACCACATTTGCAAAGTTAATCCATGTGACTGGAGTCTTATTAGAGTGAGGAGCAGAAGAGTGGACAAAATGTCATTAAATGTAGCTGCAGCGATAACTTTCAATTAGTACTAAACCTCACTTTTTGCAGCAATTTTGTGGCTCATGTGCTATCAAGCAACCTAAACACACACAACTATAAACCACACACCCACTGTCTAGCAGCAACACCGTGTAAGTGAAGGGCGAGCTCTCGGTCATAATTGGACTTTGCAGCTAGCTGGCTGGGTAGGCTGACTGTAAGATTCCCAACCCCTCCTCTCCAATTCCCACTGAACTCACTCCTGGGAATGACATTGAACAAAACACACTATCACATAGCCTGTTTCTCCACTGATACAACCTCTGAGATCCGCATGCTCCTGCTACTATGATTTTAGCTTCACCAATGGTGAAAAGGGGAAGTGAACAGTGAGAGGGGGAGGCAGAGAACACAAGAGGGGAGACAATTACACTCCCATGAAGCCACAGGGAGGTCTTTGTCAGGCACTGTGGGTTCTGATA